AACATTCTCTAACTCTCCTTCAAAAATTAAATTCATTAGTTACTAAAGATTATATATTTATATATGTATACATGCACATATGTGTGCATATATAAATATATATATATGAAAGCAGTAATAAAATCTGTTAAAACGAACAATAAAATAAATGGAAAGTAATGCAACATGAATTAACTTGTTGTAGCCTATTAACAACGCCTTTTAAATTCTATTTACAATTATTTTCAGGCTATCAACTAATAATAGGTATCTTTTCCTTAAAAAAATTACTACAGTCTTAAACATACAATATATTCTAAGGCCTGATCAGGCAACGTGGTAAAAATAATTTCGGTACATCCTTTCAGGAGGAAGGGGAAATTTAAGACTTTTCCTCATATATTTCACTTTTTTTTTAGTTGTCAGTGAAATGTATTACGGATTTAAAAAAGAAAAAAGAAACAGGGGGGGGGGGGGAGAAGGGAAGAAACTCCAGTTTTAAAAACTTTTGTGTATTAACGTGTCCTAGAGATCGCTCCTGTATTAAGTAATCGGTTTGAGATCAACAGGAGGCCAGCCTGCCTTTTGCCCATCGGTGAGACTTCCCAACATTTAACATATATCACTCTGTTTCTCTATCGATCCAGTGCAGGGGACTCCAACCTTGGCAACTTTAAGATTTGTGGACTTCAACTCCCAACCGGCTATGCTATGGTGGCTGGGGAATTCTGGGAGTTGAAGTCCACAAGTCTTAAACGGTCCCAAGTTCGGAGACCTCTGATCTAGTGGGTAAAAAGGGTCACTTTGACAAGCCAGGATTGCAAGCCTGCAACCTTAAAACTTGGGGAGCAGAGCGTGCCAGAGAAAGGCTGAGATTTTGGGGGGAGTAAGCATGCATAGGATCGCACCAAAATCCCCACCCTTCGCATGGCCGTGGCTTCTCTGCAAAACCCCTTCAAAAGAGGGAATAAACCTGATTTCTAAGGTTTTCTACCCTCCTTAGCAATAACAAGCTCCCATGGACTCTTCTCCCACCACCCCATGCCTTACTCTAGGAGAAAAACATCATGGCTCCAATATCTTGCTCAAGGCAACAGCTGTTTACTCTCCAAGCCAAGTCACTCTAGTCATTCAGAAGTCACTGACTAGCCCGATTGGAAAATACAGAGGGCGGAAGGAATCCGGAGAGCCCTTGGCCAGGCCAAGACGCCAAGGGATCTGATCTCTTGCAAGGAGCTGAAACTGGGGCAGAACGCTATCCTGGGGTAGGCTGCCTCTGGGAACTGGGGTGGGTGGGGAGAGGAATTTCACACAGTATTGCAAAAATCACACCACTTTACCAAAAAAAAAAAAAAAAAATCCCTTTATGCTAAACAATTTTTGTAAAAAAAAAAAAAAACCGAACAAACCAAACGGGGTTGATTATGAAAAAAATAATCTAATCCATCAGAACACTGTACTTTTAAGATAAGAATCGTAATTTTACAGATCCACCGACTTCTAAAACCCTCTTCTGTTTTTGTGCATGTTATGTTCAAGGTTTCGGAACATATCTTTTTTTCTTTTCTTTTTTCCTTCCTTTCTTCCTTTCTTTCTTTCTTTCATGGAATGGCTAACAAATTTCCCCCCTCAAAAACGACCAATCAGCGTTTTCCGTTTTCCCTCTGCAATGACCCGTTTTATTCAAGTTTCTGCATTTCTTGCATATTATTTGCATAAGGCTGAGAGAAAATGGCCACACGTACACCAATCGATAAACCACACGCATCCTTTTGAGAGAAAGAACTTTGGATAAATTAAAATTAAAATTAAAAAAGGAACACACAGGCTTGGGTCCACCTGCGCCGGTTTTGTTTTTTTTAAAACTCTCACACAGATTTGAACAATCTTTATAGAAAATCCCTGGAATCAAGTTCACACCTGAATCCTGGTTCGGGAGATTTGATTTAGAGTCACCAAATAGCTCAGCGACTTTGTAGACAGAATGCAGCTCCTAAGGAATTTATAGTCTGCCGACTGTGTTTTTTTTTTCTTTTTTTCTTTCTTCCTTGAATAAAGAAGTCATTGCACAAACAATCTTTTTTAATAGTGCTACCCTCACAAATGGCATTTCTAGTCCCACCCTCGGGTTAAAATTTGGTGAAGTTTCCAAAGCTTCAAGCTTTGCGTTTTGCTTTTTTTTTTTGTCCCGTTTTTCTTCCTCAAAACTCACCCCCCCCTTCTTACAATGTAAGACTAAATTTGCAAAAGTTGATATTAAGAAACAAGAAAAAAAAATTATTGTGGCACCTAGAAAAGTTACCCTGACACACCTATCACTGGATCTCCATATATATATATATAGCGTGTGTGTGTGTGTGTGTGTGTTTGTGTGCGTGCGTGTGAGACGTGCCATGTATGTGGTCGTATGATCAGTTTCAATGTCTGTTGCAGAAGTGCAACATTTCCCAACAGGTTACAGGACACTTTGATAAAAACAATCAGGAGTCAAACTTTCCTACTTATCTTTTTTCCTTTTTTTTGGCTCCTACGTTTTGCCCTCCCCTCTCCCCCCCCCCCAAAAAAAAGAGGAGGAGGAAAAAAGAAAAAAGAAAGACGAAGAGATTGCACCCCTGACGTTCTGTTTTCTGAGCACTTTTAAAAGCTGTGAAACTGAATGCTGCGGAAAATGTGTCAGGCTTACATTCCGTGCAGATCTATGCAAGAATTCTCTCTCTATATATATATGTATTTTTGCTTCTCAACATCATTCGGAGAAAACCGGAGGGAGAGTGAGTTACATCGAAGTGACAAGATTACACAAATCTCCCTCTCCGTCGCACTGAGCGACGGACGGATGCCCTGCCTCCTCGCTTGAAGAGTGTAATGCTAACACCGGCGTTTGTACACAAGTGCGTGCGTGTGTGTGAATGTGTCTGAATCTTCCCAACTAGAGTTCAGGGATGTTTTCTGTAGAGGCACTGCCACAGGTTTGTGCAAATCCCATATCATCATTATCATCGCCACCACCATCTTTAAAATATACAACTATCTGCACCTAAGGAGTATTCAAATCCTGTTTTTCTCCATTAACTCGGTTACGAAGCCAGGAAACAGGAAGCCTGCAACCCGAAGGACATTCAGACGGGCCAGGGTGCCAAATTCAAGGGGCTGGATGAATATTTCGGTAGGCCTTTGAAGCAGCACTTAGAGGGCTTAGTTTTCCAGAGGCTGGTTTCCATCCATCAGGGGTGTCATCCAAGATGTCCTTGTTTCTGGATTTCATGGGGTTCCAATTTTGGAAAGGCGTATCTCAACTTACACCAGGGGCGTCCAACCTGTGGGCTTTAACTCCCAGAATTCCTCAGCCTGGGAGAGTTGGAGAATTCCGGGAATTGAAGCCCACGGGTCTTAAAGTGGCCAAGGTTGGACACCCTTGATTAACCCCCCAAAAGTAAAAACGGCCACAGACTCTCGTGTTTCAGAACTGAGCATCAGCTGATTCTTCAGCCAACAATTTGAATGGAGATGCCAAACTCAACGAATTAAAATGAGCCGGCTCCGAGGGCTAATGCATCCAGAATTTACCTGCTGACCCTAAATCCTAAATTAGTGGCTTACAGACAGGAAAGTGTTAACCTATTTGAAGGAAGAAAAAAAAATATGAAAATTTCTGGGAAAGCTGTTAAGACTTGTTTTGTTTCTCTACATGATTGGAGGCCAGGAAATTATTATTATATACACAGCGATGTGAAATCGCAGCTGCCAGCTCTTTAGCTGGGGTTGGCCTTCATATCCACCCAGATCTTCCCAAGAACCTGGGATGATATAATGTATTGGCGCAATACACAGGCGGTTCCAAGCAACGCGGCCTTTGGCAATTGACAGATGGAAACGCTGTCCATGCGTAGGTTTTCTAAGTGCCCTTTAATTAATTAACATTATTATTGGCAAGAGAAGAAGCTAAGAACGGAGGCATCTGTTTGGCGCTACTTATCTGATCTAAGATACAGGGTTGGGTTATGCGTGTTTGAAAGGATGTTTCTCTTTTTATTCTGTATATATTACAGATTAACTTGGATTTTGAGGGTAAAAAAGCAAAAAAAACAACAACCCACCACTTCTTTTTTTTAAAAAAGAATCAACTTCAACATGATTTCTTTAAAACCTAGTCACTGAAGGATTAAGAAGTCGAGGGCCACATACTGCAAAAAATAGTAACTGAAAACTGAGACATTTTTTCTCTTGCCAATACTTCCTGCCCTCCAGTGAAAATTCTTCAGCATTTAGTCCCTCATCCATTTTACTTTCTGGCCCGTTTTTGGACAAGTGGGAGGGTTTTTTTTTCTCTTTTTTCTTTTGCATTACTTGCAATGTTTAGAAACCAACCTAATCAGAAATTGATCAGAAATCTACCTACAACCGTCTGAATATCTTCAGATTTTCCGTTTACCTTTTTTTTTTTAAAAAAAGCAAGGCCTCCCTGTTTCCCGTCGTAACCTTTATAGCATATGGTTTCAAAAAGGGGGGAGAGGAAAAGGGAAATTGATAACAACGGTCATCTATGAAAATGCTAAGATATCATAATCGTGAAACAAACGGTGCGGAATATACTGGATAATGACGTACAACTTTTTTTTTTCCGTCTCTCCAAATAAAGTCAATATAAGACTAGGATGTAAACAAAACATTAAGATAACACTTTGAAAAACAGACGAACATTTATCCATTGACGATAGAACGATTAACCTAGTTTAAGTCCACTGTGCAAGAGCACTTTTTGCCTTGATGGTAGACAGGAGGAAAAAAAAACCCCAAAAAACCCCAAAACCCACTTTTTAAAAAGTGTGTTAAAGTAAGGTGTTATAAAAGTCTATTTTATAGTTCTCTACTTCTATGTCTCATATAACAGAGCACTGCTTTCTTAATCTTTGTGTGTGTGTGTGTGTATATATGTTTGTGTGTGTATATATATATATATATATATAGTGCTTTTGTATATATATATATATATATATATATAGAGAGAGTGCTTTTTTAAAAAAAAAAATCGTTTTGACATTCCCACAGATCAGTTTTTGGTTAGCATGGACGTTGCCGATGCCGGAGAGAAGGGAGAGGGGGCAGAAAGCAGAGAGCCCACTTGAGCTTCCTGCCAGGAGGGAGGAGGAGGAAACACGACGCACGGGGGGGTGGTGCCACCGTTCTCTCTCCGGGATGCTGACAGGACTCTGGGGAAAGAGGGGAGAAGAGAAGACAAGTGACAACGGAGACCCTTGGGCAAAGGCGGGCAAGAAGTCACGCCGACAAACACCACTGGAGCGTAACTTACTGTGGTGCGGCTTCTACATCTGGGACACAAACATGCTGCTGTTCAGCTCATCGACTGATAACTGGGAGATCTGCAGTGAAACGGAAGAGGAAGGGAAGGGCATCAAAACGTGCCTGGGGAGGGGGGGGGCGGTGTTAACGCTCGCCCGCTAAGCTTCCAATTCCCACCAGGAATTCTAAGGCAGGTCGCTCGGGGGGGGGGGGGGGGGGGCACAGGGGGGGTAAGCAACCCCGGGGTGTGTGTGTGTGGGGGGGGGGGGTGTTAGGGTCACAGTGCCAATCCTCCCATTTGCGACCACCACCGGGGACATCCTCATGCCTGGGATGCCACTCTGCCCTCAAGGATTCACGCGCAAGCGGCTGCCTTTAGAGGGCTGGGAAAGAGAGGAGGGGAGGGGGCTTGTGGGCCTTTGGGGGACCCAAACCCCACCCTTGAACGCACGGTTTCTCCATTTTGAAGGTCGGGGGTGGGTGGGGGTGGGGACTTCATCTCCCAGAATTCAGCAGCCGGCCATGGAATTCTGGGAGCTGACGTCTTCCCTTCTTCGAGGGGTCGAAGCCGAGGGACCCCTGCCCGGGCCACACAGCGTGGATGGTGCCAGGTGTTTTCAGGAAGATTCGATACAGAAGCCGCCGCCATTTCAGGGCCCCCTCCCTCTGCCCTGGTGCTCAATTCCTCCTTCCCTCCCCAGGAGAGATTCAGAGAGCTTTGCTCACAGCTCCACGGCACAACCAGGGCCAGGAAGGTGCTGGGAAGCCTCATCTTAAAGTGCCATTTAAACGAGTTGAAAACACACCGGGGAGACTTCACGGATTTAGCCCCTCTTCCCTTTCCCTTCCACATTGTTGCTTCAGAGCAACAACGTTTGGCAGGCTGCCGGCCGGGGTGGGGGGCACTTAACGCAACCCCCACCCCAACCCCGGGAAAGCTGGTTATGAGTTGTGGGCTGATCGTTCCCCCGTCAATATGTTTTGCATGGCCCCAAGTCCGGGCCTTGGCACCGTGTCTCTTTCAGGTCAATTCTTACAGGGGTTGGGGGTGGATGGGGGTGTTAATTAGGTTTCCTGTCCTGGCAAAGGCCTGGAAGGAGCGCCCCCTCCCCTCCAATTGCGAGACCTGCCTCCCAGGAGCAGAGCAACCGGCTGGGAAAGGTTGGAAGGAGCCCGCTGCATTTTTTTAAAGAAAGATATGAACGGAGGCAAGGGACTGGGGGTTGGGGGAGAGCCCCCCCTCTTTCCTCTTGTGAGCCATGCTGGGACTCCATTTCCTTCTCCTGAGGTGGGGAGGGAGGGAGGGAGGGAGGGAGGGACTCCAGCCTCAACCGATGAGCGGGCAGGAATCTCTCCTCTTCCTCCAACTTGAGCCCCCCCCTTCCCCGTTACAAAGCGGGGTCCCCGAATGGGCTGAGCAGCTGCTCCAAGCCTGCCTGGTCTGGGAGCTGCTCCCGCAGCACACCTGGTTAGGGGAAGGCTGGCGTGGAAGGGTGATGCTTCTGGATCCCTGGCACTTCCTGCTCCCTTGCTTCAAAATTGACCACCACCTCACCCCCCCACCCCCCCCACCCGAGGAAGGCCTGGAGCCCCATGGCAGAGGACCTGTCCTCCTTCCTGGGGCGCAGGCCTCCCCTTTCAAGGCTCCTAGAGAGAGAGTGGGGGCGCAGGAAGGTTAGGGGAACCCAGCGCACCCCTCGCCTGCCAGGAGAGTTTCCAGACCGGTCCAGCGGCCTCAACAAGGGCATCCCCATGAACAGCGCCCCCCTCCGACCAAGCTGGGTTTGGCCAGCACCCTCCGCCGTCCCCACCTCTCTAACGTGACACCCCCCCCAACGCGGCACATGGGCCGCCTCCTGGCCCCACCGACCCCCGCGAAAAAAAAAAAGCTATCGAAAGGGGGGCAAACCTGATTGGCTGTTGCAGCGAAAGGAACGCTGGTGGCGGGTGTAGTTGCTGCGGAAACAGTGGTGGGCGTAGCACCGTGCATCATGGGAACTTTTTCAGTGGAAGCAACAAAACAGGAGGGTGGAGCGGAGCGTTTATGGACCGCGGTGGGGGGGGCGTGTCGGGAGTCACAGCAACAAGCCACGGTGACGTCATGGAGGGAAGACACCAGGAAGAGGCATGCAACCCACAGAGCGATGCAAAAAAAGGGGGAAAAAAGAAAAGGGAAGAAAAGAGTATCGGGGAAGAGGGGTGGGAGGGAGAGAACAAGGAAAGTAATAAAGAGAAAAAAAGGGGAAAAAGCCAATTACAATTATAATTAAGGGGGGAAAAACCAAAAATATTCTCAACACTCAGTAACACATTTATAAGCAGAACAACGATGTATAGAAGACTCGGGGGGGGGGGGGGGGGGGAAGCAAACCAAGGTTTCTTGGGGGGGGGGGCAGGGAGGGGGCCAAGATAAGCTGTTCTGTGGTCGGCAACCAACCCGGTCTTGGAAAACAGGAGTGCCCAGTTGACTTGTGAGGGAGGGTCCTTTACACCCTTTCCAGCTGCCCCAGGCCCAACTTCTGCTGGTTCTGTCCCAAGGGGCTTCCGGGGACGGGTGCCTCCCCTTGGCGCCCCCACCCCAATTTCTCCCAGAAGCAGAATATAGGAGGGGTGTGTGGGTGAAAAAAAACCCCCATGCCTGTAACACCTTTAGGAAAGAGCAAAAAATAACAGGGAGCCAAGTAATTAACGGGAAGACTACGAGGGGCCTGCGGATTTTAATGGACCCTGGGCGTTTGGTCCCTGTGTGTGTGTGTGTGTGTGTGTGTGTGTGTGTGTGTGTGTGTGTTTAAGGTAAGGCGTAAGGAGGGCTGCAATTGGGGGAGACCGAGGAAAGGGGGGTCCTGAGAGGGACGAAGCCCAAACCTTGAGTCCCCCCCCCTCTCTCTCTCACCCCGCAGGGGTCTGAAGGGTGAAGGAGAACACCTATGGTAGGGTCGGTTTTTGGGGTCCCAGGAGGCCCCTCGGCTGACAGCTCCAGTAGCCCACTGAAAGGCCCACCTCCTACCCCAAGGGCCAGCAACCTGCAGCTTTAGAGACGCACGTGGCTCCTTCCTCCCTCGGCTGCGACTCGGCTCCACAATCGATACGGGTTTCGGTTAGGACCTTTGGGGCTCTTTTGAGCGTTTAAGGTTGCCGACCCCTGTCCTATCCCAAGGAGCAAAGATCAGGTCGCCGCCACAAGCCAGCCTAACACTCTAAAAGGAGGCTGGGCGTCCTGGAACCTCACCTTCACCAAATTACTGCTTATCCCAGGTTGGGTTGGAGGGACATAACACCCCCCCCCAAAACCCCCCCAACCCCCCTGGAACTGGTTTATAATGTTAGCAAGGGCTAGTCCCTGCGGGTTCAATCCACTCACATGCCCCTTGTGGGCTGGAGGAAGAAAGCTCCATCCAACAACCCAATCTTGCACTGTGTTGACCTTGTCAACTTCTGTTCTCCCCCATCAAGGCTGGTCAAGGGCAGGGGGCAGCAACCTTAAACACTCAAAGGGCCACAAAGGTCCTCACTGGAAGCCCCCGTTCAATTCTGGAGCCAACCGGAAGCCCGGTTCCCCTACCATAGAGTCTCCTCCTAGCGCAGCATCCTTTTTCCTCTACTTGCCCTATCTGAAAGCCCTATCTACCTGGGAGCCGACCGGCGAGAGGGAGCCACATGTGGCTCCAGAGCCATGGATTGCTGACCCCTGGCCAAGGAGAAACAAAATACTCAAGGGGGGGTGGGAAGGCTGCACTAAAAGCAAACAGACCGACATGAAGGAAACAGCGGCTGTTCATGAATCGTGTTCCCCAAAGGATGGCTTGAGCAAAGCTCTCGCTTACAGAACCAGCAGAAGTGCTAGAAATTCATCCTTTTGCAGGTTGACTCCTCAGGCAGCCCCTCCACCAAATATTTTCCCGGTAAAGCAAGTGAAATAAGAGTGAACTCTGACAGGAGTGGAAATATCTCCGAGAATCCTAAATTATCAAACGGGCAAGGGAACGCACCAAGCGCCCCTGCTCTTAACACCCCCTCTGAGTTAGCCCAGTTTCTCCTTTCTGCCTCCTGCTCCTTTCTGGATGAAGACCCAGGATGGCTGTCGTCCATCCAGAATCGCATCAGAGACGGCCTGACATCACAGCACTACATAGCCCATCGGACCGGGCTACCCGGAGATGTCGGCAAGGGTCCAAGGGCAAGGATCGTGGAATGGATTTGATGACACCGTGCCAGCTTTTAAGGGTTGGACCAAGGCAAGTAGGAGAGACGAGAAGGGACCACGGAGACACGGCCGGAGGGAAACCACGAGGGAAGAGGGGCGATTTTTAACCCTCGCCTAAGCTCGGTTCCACGGATTCCATCACCGCGCTTGCCACACTCTTAAGAGATGTGGAAGAGCACAACCATTTCAGACTTTACAGGGACAATGAATTTTCAGCCAGGCATATCGTGAGACACTGCTGGGCACGCACGCACACCCCCACACCCTCACACACCCTTCCCGCTCTCCTCCTTCCTTCCCTCCGTCCCTCCCCACCAGTGACCTCCCCGCCCCGATCCAAAGGCCTTGTTTGTGTTAGGAAAAGGTGGTGGAGAAAAACCTACCAACGTTTGCTGCGGGTGCCATGCACAGCACAGACCCTGCACGTCATGCAGTGAAGCGTGGAAAAGATGAACAGAAGGGATATTTAGTTAGTGAAGCCGTCCGTGTGTTAACAGGCACACATTCTGAGTAATACTATTATTTTTCGGGGTGGGGGGGTGGTTTCTCTAGGCAAGGCAGTGCCCACAGCGATGCCCACGCTGAACTCGGATCCGACAGCAACTCAACCGTTTAAACGTTAGCGCTGTGGCCCAGAGGGGGAAAACATACGCTTGGGATTTGACGCAGCGGCTGGCTTTTGAATCCGTCCCCTGAATCCCTGCTCCATTCAGAACCGATTCTGCAAGCTTACAAAACGTTTTGGCAGTTCTGCAGGCAGGCTGCGAGTGGGAGACACGTCCCCAAGGGAGGCGAAGGGAGGGTGGGTGCCCCCATCTGCTAGCCAGGCTGGCATCGTTGGCGCACCGGCAAAGGTCTTATCTTAACAGTTGGAGAGGTTCGACCGGCCACATTTTATACGCTAGCTGCACACACACGCACAAAAAAAAAACCCGGTGGAACACCTGAATCTTTGGTGAAGAGCAGAGTTCACACCTTGGGCTTCTAGCTGCAGGGGAGGCTTTTCCCTGGCTGGGAGGGAGGGAAGAGAGAGAAGGGTGGCTATCAAAAATGGGCGGGGGGGGGGGAACAGGCCTGCCTGTGATGTTTATTCACAGCAGGGGAGATGAGTTACGCAAGAAGCTCCTTGAGGAAGGCCAAGGGGTTGAAAAGAAAGGTGGCACCCGTGGCCGGCCACACTTCCCAATGGAATCCTTGCCGTTTCCCAATTCATTCCACTGGGAAACTGTCTCAGGCCTAAGATTCTTGGAAGGCAGCGGGAGAGAGAGAGGAAGTCCCGCCTTTCGGCCTCCTCCCGCCCCCCCTCCTCCTCCCTGGACACCTCTGGCTCAGGCGGCACCGGCAAACCGGAGAAGGCTCACAGCAGGGAGGGAACTCATGCGCAGCTGCCGCTCTGGGTGAAAGCCGGGCAGAGAGCGGGCTCTGGGGGGGGGGGGGTCACCCAGGGGCCCCGGAGGAGGTGGGGGTCAACCCGTGCACGGAGAGGAGAGCCAAGAGGCCGAGCCAAGGCACCTACCTGTTGGGATAAAGGCAGGCTGTTGCAACTGCATGTTGGCAAGGGCCTGCTGGTAGTGAAAAACGCTTGGGCTGAAGACTGTGGTGGCACCGTTGTTTTTTTCAAGTGCTGGCCTCTTTGGTAAAGGTTGAAGGGCACCAGGTGGCAATGCCTGTAAAAAGGAAGGGCCACAGCCAACGGAAAGGGGGAAGGGGAAAAGAAGAAGAAGAAGAAGAAGAAGGGAAGACCAGGTTTAATCGGAGCATGTCTGGACCAAGGGACGCAGCATCACCTTCAAATCATTTGCAACGGCTAAGAAACGGGAGCCGGGACAGAATTCACCCCCTGACAGCCGGAAGAAGTGAAACTGTGCCAAGGCGAGCCGTCGTCTTTGCCACAAACCTCACGACTGCTTTTAAAGCAAACTGAACTGCCAGGGCTCAGGTCTTCCCCCAAGGAGGCCTTTCGATTCCGAAAGGGTCGGGAAAGGCCGCCGAGGCCGGGGGATTCCGGGAGCGAAGGCTCCCCTGTATCTGGGCCAGGGAAGGCTCAGTTAAGGGAAACGAGTAAAGGTCCCAGAACTGAAGAAGGCTCCACTTGCCCCCTCCTCCTCCTCCTCCTCCTCCTCCTTTCTTCAGCTTTGAGAAGTGACTTTTAAACCCGCTGATGTTTTTAACTTGGGGTTTTTTAGACCAGTTTTCAACCATCAAGGATGCCGCTGGGATTCTCAGACCGCAGCAGATACCAGGGCGGTAACGGTTCGATTTTCAAAGGAAGAAAAGGAGGAGGAAGGGAATTTTATTTGATTTTTTAACAAAGGAGAGGAATCAAAAACAATTTTCACTTGCCCAAAAACAGTTGCAGGAGGTGTGCAAGCGACAAACGTGAAAGACACACGCAGGGAACATTAACAGCTAAAGTCAGAGGTACGACTATTAGCAGGGGAAGATGAGCAAGGGAGACGGGGGTGTAAATGCAAAGACCGCTGGCTACAGGTGTCAGCCCCGCCCCACTTCCTGGGCCAGCTTTTGCGTCAAGGGCTGGGGTGGTGCCGGGAGGACGCCGTGAGCGTAACGCTGCCGGCAGCTGGCCCTCGCTTCCCTTCCATTCTCTTTTATTTGTTTTATGGAGGGGATTTATATGGCTGCCCACTCACTCTCAGTGGCTCCGGGCAACTCACAAACCACGCTTCTTCCCCTATGGGGCACGTCGGTAAGACGCAGGTGAAAGCAGACCTTCCTCCCCTCGCCTGGGCAAAGAATTTGTGGGGTGCACAGTCTGCAGGCTTGTCTCCTTCTCACTCGGACACCAAATTGTGAGTGCGTCTGGGACAGGAACCAAACGGAACTTGTGTGTGTGTGTGTGTGTGTGTCTTAAGAACTGGCCAAGGGAGAGGGGGCAGGGGAGTTCGGCGGAAGCAGAGCCAATCAAAAACAGCTATCCTGGGCTGAGCAGTTGAGAGAAGACAAGCGCACCCCAAAGGTAAGCAAACTCTTCGCTTAAGCCAGGAGATTTCTAGCAAATGCTTGCCTGGATGTGAAATCTAGCTGACATCCACCATTCGGGGTAGAAGGCAGTTCAGGGGTGAGCAGCTGCAGCCCCTTTACAATGGGTGGACTTCAACTCCCAGAATTCCCATGCTGCTGCTGTTGCCCATCCCTGAGCTAGTTGCTGCTCTATGATTTTGGGGGGGGTGTGTCGTAATTTTGCCCCAAGGGTTACTCAAAACCCTTCATTTTTTCTTTCCTTTTTTTGGGCGGGGGGGCCTCTCCCAGGCCACAGAACTCAAAAGCTGCGGAGTCCCTTCATGTTTTGCTATAAGGCACAGTGGTGTGGGGTGGGTGTCCTTTAGTGGATCTGGTAACGGGATGAATTTCGCCCGAATTTGGCTCCTTTCATTGGGGTTTTCTGCCCCTGGGCTGGCTGGGCAACTTTCCAGCCAGCTCGTCTTGTCTGGGAGGCCTGTGGCATCCCAAGGGCGTTAATCCTCACACCTGTGTCACCCTCACTCTTGAATGGAGAAGGCGCTCACCTGCCGTGGGGGTTTTTTTCACCCAGCCTGTTACACATTGCATCACACACACACACACACACACACACACACACACACACCCCGACCCAGCCCCAAAAGTGCCTAAGAGCAGAGGTGCGTTCCCCTCAACCCCACTGCATTTCATCTACTTCTAATTTCCCGTGCAGGGCGGCTTCTCTTGAGAGAGAGAGAGAGAGAGAGAGAGAGAGAGAGAGAGAGAGAGAGAGAGAGAGAGAGAGAGAGACGGCAAAAAGAGCCAGCAAATTGACTGGATTTATTATTTGGGAAAACTGACAATTTAATTCATTCCAAACTTAGGGAGGTTCCCCTCAACCTCGCTTCAGGACCTGCGATAGGCAGAAGTCACACAATTTTTACAACCCCTCTCTCTCCTTTCAGGTTTAAAAAGAAGACCTATTATTTCTGTAACCAAAAGAGCAACCCGCCCTGCCTTCTTTCTTAGAAAACCGACAGCTTGGAAGCTAAGCACGGGGTTTAGAAGCCAGGTTCCCCCCCCAGCCCCCCCCGCCCCCAGGGAAAACAGGCAAGGAAAAAGTGGAAAGAAAGGGGATGAATTTCGAAAGCACAAGTGGGGAAGGATTCCCCTGCCCCGTCGTCCACACACAAACTTTGGGAAGGAGGCTGCTTGCCACACACAGGTCACGATCCACTCCCTGGGCAGAGATTCTCATCAGGCCGGTGGGTTTAAGAATTTAAGTGGGGGGCGGGGGGAAATATTGAAGAAAATAAGTTGGGCTCTCTCAAAGAGCCGGTTAACATCCCACCCTGATTACAACATGCAGACCCTGCTATTGCAGAGGGATGCAGCTTTGCAGCCCCTTCCTGGCCAGCGTGCGGAGAGTGAACTGCCGTCTGACTCTGCGCCCCTCCCAAAGCCAAGATGAAGCTCTGAATGAAGGGCAAGACCACCACCCCCATCTTCAAAAGCCCCGGAACTGCCATTGTGCCCTTTGGCCTTCATTGCTTTTGGAATGCCACAAACCTCGTAGTTACGAACAGCTCTGTAGGTTGCCCCATGAGGGTCAATTTTATGATATTTTTTTGTGGTGGTTGCTAAGTGAACCAATTGGGCTGCAAAGGGATGCAACTTTACTGCAAAAATACCACCGTAAAACGTGGCCGTGTGACGGCAGGATGCTGCAAACTGACTTTAGATGTGGCCAGTCGTGAGTCGGAGTAGGATGAGGGGTCCCATTAAACCGTGAAAGTCAACCAGGAACCAAGAGTGGTTGCCTGGAGACCCCCTTTCCTTCATGCCCCTGAAGTGCCTCAAAGGATCCCCACCCCCACCCCACCCCCCAGAAGCCTCCTGCCCTGTTTGGAAACAGGCAGACTGAAAAAAGCTGCCATCAGAGGTCCCTGCGAAGCTGCACCTAGACTTTTTAATTTTGGGGGGTGGGTGGGTGGGGGGTGGGAGAGACACCTGCTAGTTCAAAAATGGATTTTCAATTCCAGCAGAGACCGGTATTTTTTTGTTTCTTTCCCCGCTCCCCCAAATCTTAGGGGGCTACAGAAAGTACGGACCAAAACTGTCCGACTGGAAACAGGCTGTTCCTCGTGTGATGGGCAGTCCCCGGATACAACACCCGAAACAGAAGAGGAAAGGGGGGAGAGAGGGAAAGAGAGAGAGAGAGAGAAGGAAAGGGAAAAAATGAATCATAAGGTATCCATGCAATCTAAAGCCGGGGTCTCCAACTGCGCCCACTTTAAGACTTGTGGACTTCAACTCCCAGAGCAAAGCGGGCTGAGGAGTTCTGGGAGTTGAAGTCCACAAGTCTTAACATGGCCAAGGTTGGAGACCCCTGGCCTAAAGGACGGTTACGTGCAAAGCTCCAAGTACCAGGTCAAAGTTTGCCTCCAGCGGTCGCTTCTGTGATCGGAGAGCTGGCTGAGTCTTAATTAGCAGGGCAGGCGAGTACATGGCGGTATTGAGGAAAAGGGGGCGGGGGGTAGAAGCACAACACAAAAACAAAAAAAAAACAGCAAGCAGAGATGTGTTAAAAAGGAGAGCAAAGTTGTGGAGAAGGTGGAGAGAGAAAAAAATAAAAATAAAATGAATGCGTTATCACAGTAATTTTTTAAAAAACAAAAACATAAAAAAAAATCCAGACAAGGCATGCACCACAGAGAGGTCTGCAACAGTTAAAATGGACAAAGAACAGCTATGGGGGAGACACACACACACACACACACACTTGGGCAGAAGCCTTTTTCATCCCTGTTTTCACAAGTAATGCATCAGCGGAAAGATTGGTAGGATTGGACCCTTCACTCAGGGGAACCAAAGCAGCCTCCCCCCCCAGCACAAGCTCCGCCCCTTCCGTGGTGCACGTGACATCGCGGTGCGCGTGGAAAAGGAGAGGCGGAGCTTCTGTCCTGAAGACGCTTCCATCGCAAACAGCTCTGCCTAAGGAGAGCCTTTCGCTGAAGGATTCGCACCTGGGATCCCCGGCCTCTAAAGCTATTCTGCAAAACAGGCCCCGCGGTATCTGATATAGAGTCTCTGTAATGTGCAACCCACCCCCCCCACGTTTCCTGCTCCCCCATCCCTTTCTTTTAATCCAGGGGGGTCCAACCTTGCTAACTTTTAAGACCTGTTGGCTTCAACTCCCAGAATTCCCCAGCCAGCATAACTAGCTGGGGAACTCTGGGAGTTGAAGCCCACATAACTTAAAAGTAGTCAAGGTTGGGCACTCCTGGTTTAAACATTTCTTTGATTGTTTTTTAAAAGAAACACCTTCCATTTTTAAAGTACACATTAGGGAATGAAGATTTCGCTTGCGAGAAAGCGTGCTCCCAATTTGCCTGGCTGCCCTTTGAGGATGGCTTCCTTCTGGTTTTGGGGGCTGAACTCTTGGTGCTCATCAGAAGCAAGTCCTGCTGTTTTCAGAGAGGCTCACTTCTGCGTTAGCAAGCAATCGGGAGGTGCGTGGCCAAACCCAGGGAGCATCTGTGAAAAAAGGGACGGGCTGGGTGTGTGAAATCTGAATCAATGGCATAGGGCTTGTCCGGAAAGCGGGGATTAGTATATATTTGAAACCCCAAGATTTCTTCCCGACTTAAGAGGGAACCATCTAGTCTCAAAGAATTTTGAGACAACCTCCAGGAATTCTGGATGTCTTTCCAACCACACCTCACACACACACCCCCTTCCTTCAAAATGACCAACACACGGACAAATCTGAGAAAGGATTCCATCTAAAGATGTGAAACCGTCTTTCTCCGTCTCTCCATTTTGCCCACCGATCGATCAACCGGTCGGCCCATCAACCAACCGGTTGCTGTGCCACCTTAAAAGGTGCGAGGGAGGGCAGGCTTGGCCCTTCAGAAGCAGCTGCGTTTGAAAAACCTCCCAGCGGTGAAACCGAGACCTGGGAAGAGGGTGGGGTGGGGAGTGAGTGAGTGAATATTACAAGACAGTTTGGATGACCCGGCTCCGAAAACAAGCGAGCGGTAAAAGGTTTTCAGGCTGGGCGGCGGTTTAAAAGTGGCACGCTGCTAATCGAGTGTGTGCTGACAAGGGACAGCATGAATTCAGCATGAACTGGGGTGACATGGGGAGACAACTGTTACTGGTAGCATGTCAGGAATCAGCCCAGATCAATAAAGAACGTGTGAGCTGATTCTTCCAAAGGCCGATGAGAAGCTTGGCCATCAAGGTGTGTTCTCTTTTAGTGACAAGACCCACCCTAAGCCCAGGGTGGACCCTCGGCATCTTAATGTCTATGGAGACTCTCCATCATCAAGGCCAGGGGTGTCCAACCTTGGCAACTTTAAGACTTGTGGACTTCACCTCCCAGAATTCTGGGAGTTGAAGTCCACAAGTCTTAAAGTTGCCAAGGTTGGACACCCCTGATCTAAGCCATGGTTGTCCCAAAGGTGCTTTTTCAAGAGGCACCTGGACTTCCTTTGTTTTTCTTTCGAAGACGCTTCCCTTGTCACCCCAGAAGCTTTTTCAGTTCTAGTAAATGGTGGGGAATGGAATACAAATCCTTCCGTTCCCCATCGTTCAGTCAGAACAGAAGAAGCTTCTTGGATGGCAAGTGAAAAGTCTTCAACGAAAAACAAAAGAAGCCCAGGTGCCTCTTGAAAAAGCACCTTTGGGATGATTGGCAGCTGAATGTGGAACTGAATGATATGGATATGGATACAACCGCATACACCGGCTTTGCATAGGTTTGGATCTTAAATAGAAAATTCTTTATGGCTCTTTCTTGTAAATGTTCTATGCTGAGAGAGGGGGAGAGAGGGGGGGAAGAAAGAAAAAGAAAGGAAGAAAGAAAGAAAGAAAAAGAAAGAAAGAGAGAAAGAAAGAAAGAAAGAAAGAAAGAAAGAAAGAAAGAAAGAAAGAAAGAAAGAAAGAAAGAAAGAAAGAAAGAAAGAAAGATAGATTTGATTCAGATACGATAGGATTTGCTTTATGGGTTCTGAAAACTGTGGGACTTCCTTCTAAAGGAGCCTCTCAGGGCTGAACGGGTGATTGTGGGAGGGTGAGGATTTAAAAAGGGGAGCACCCCCTGTCCCCACTTGGTGGGACAACACAACATTCAGCCAAGTCATCGCTGAAGGCGGCTCTCTTACCATTGCGGTCGCAGCTGTTTGATTCACCTGGTGCTGAGCTGCCTTGATTTTAGCTTGCAAATGCGCAGGGGGGTGAAAGTACTTGCATTTCTCCCTGGAGCATCGGCCTTTGATGTAATCCATGCACACCGTGACCGTGTTCTCGTTCGTGTCAATCATGGCAATATCGATTGGGTGAGCGTAGCGGCAGTCGTTCTCGCCCCGCGTGCAATTTCCACGCTGAAATTCTCGGCACACCTGGAAAGGCAGAGGAGGTGGGGTTCAAAGAAGGACAATACAACCTGCTGGTCTCAAGGCGATCGCTCTGCCAGGTTTGTCTGAGTAAGAAGAAGGGGGGCCGTATCCATTTGCAGGATAGAAAGAGAAATGGTGTAAGAGTGTGTGGAAATGGCCTTGGGAGACGGAAGGGGCGATATTTGGATAAGAGGCAGCTGAGCCTGCAGGCAGAATGGGGGCATGGCACTCATCCCAGCACGGAAACCTTCTGAAGTTTTTGGAACTGAAAGGTGAAGGGGGAAGAGATGCCCTTTCAGGCTGCACAATTCTATTAATGTAACCCGACAATAAAATGATAGTTAGTCCTCCTGGGTGCGCTTCTCGTTTCCCACAGGGCTGACGGAAACAGAGCAATCTGCACCCAAATTCTCCTACCGATTCCTTCACGAAATAAGGCAGAGGAACCCAAGCCAAGGCAAATACCTCCAATTTATCTGTCCTCATGAGTTTCTGCCCCGCGGAGCCACCGGGTATGGAAACCGCGGGGTTGCTGGAGACCAGGACGGGCGTGTTTGGTAAGAGCTCTGCAGGCACCAAACCCATCCCTGGAGAAACGTGGCTTAAGTAGGGGCTGAACGCCATGGTGGGGCTGGTTGCAAGCGAAGGAGTCACAGGAAACGTCGTCTGTTGGGGAAGATCAAGCAAAAGGCAGGCTGTCATCAGGGGAAAAGAGTTGGAAAGGACCTTGTAGGTCATCTAGCCCGACCCCCTGCCTCAGCAAGTCCAACCCCCTGCCCAATCACTGAGCAGACAGCCATCTATCACTATCCATCTATGGGCCTCCACCATCCACTCTTTAGAAGGGCTGATGCACCATGCTGCGTTCAAAAGACATTTGGAGGGGGGGATTTGATTTTTCCGCCTGCTCTTAAGGAGGCCACAGATCGGAAGTGCGGACAAGACACAGAAAATTAACATCTAATTAACACCTAGGAACTCAAGAAGGTTGGGGGGGGTCTCTTGAACAAAATCTGCCAAGGGTCTTGGAGTGCTCCAAGGACGGTCTGGTTGAGGAGGGCATAGGCTTTGGGCGGACTATGCGCAGCTTCCAACGCATGGGCCGCTGTCCTGAAATAACCTGGATGGGCAGGTGGAGGATGGAGCACGATCACCTTAGGTCTCTTCGCTTAAAGTGCCAATTTTGAATGCGGATGTTGGGGGGGAAGGTCAGGGATTCTGCTGACGCTCCACCCGCTCCAGTGCGTTTTCCCACCTTGAAGGCACCGGCACAATTTTTCCAGCTGGTGCTGAGAAATCCCTGATAGATGCAACCCGTGCGGTCCAGCGGTGTCACCTTGCTGGAAACGTGGCCCTATCTTACCTCTATCCTTCCTGGCCCAAGAAGCCCCTGCTCTGAGCCAGGCCTCATCGAGAATGACTCCCTGTCACTTACGATCGGCTGCAGCTGGGCTCCAGGGACCATAAACTGCATTTGCTGTGCAAACATGGCAGCGGCTGTCTTTTGCTGGATCAGGTTGTTGCGCCCATTGATTTCAAGTTGTGTTTTTAAGTGTGGTGGAGGGTGAAGGTATTTGCAGTTTTCTCGAGTGCAGCGACCCTAAGGGGTTTGTGGAGAGAAAAAAAAGGAAAAGTACATCTTGGGAAGCAGAATCCCTGAGAGACCAGGATAAAAACGGATTATTCAGCACCTGGAGGGAGAACGGGGTGTCTCCCATGTTTACTTTTCATTTTTAGGCACGATATCAGCACAGAAAATACATGACAGGATGCAACTGTTTTTAAATTTATTTTTTTAAAAACCAAGTCGTGTATTTAACAAACAGAAATTAAAAACACTCCAACAGCGAGGATGTAATAAAAAAGTATGTATGGTAGTAATAAGAATAAACTTTGAGCCGTGCTATTCTGTAAAAATAAAATTAGCTATCCAGGGCTACAAAACCCTGTGATTATATCCTTACTGTCTTACTCTGCCAGGTTCCATTATCCAACTGAAATCATAACAGACAATCATCTGCCACACAACACCCCAGACTTAACAACTGTTGATAAGAAAGACCAAGAAGTCTGGAGAGTGGATATTGGGGTGCCTGAAGACAGCAGAAGAAGGGGAAGAACGGGAGAAAATCCCAAAATACAAAGATCTGCAAACAGAAGTAGAATGTCTGTGGCAAAAGAAAGCAAAGATAGTACCAACAGGAACAGGCACCCTGGGTGCAATCCCAAAACATCTGGAGCACCAGTGGCATTGACAAAAACACAAAACCAGTCAACTGCAGAAGGCAGCTTTACTTGGGAGAGCTCACGTTCAGCTCTGCCTGTCCTAGGTACTTGGGAAGGACTCGATAGGTGGACAAAAATGCAGAATTCAGTCTGAACATCTGGCTGACTGGACAACCAGCCACAATAATACTAGCAGCATGCCTTCAACTCCCAGAATTCCTCACGCCGGCCATGCTGACCAGCAAATTCTGGGAGTTTGGTCCACACATCTCAGTTGGTCAAGGTTGAGCTTATGGACACCTCAGCTCTGCACACAGGTAGTAAGGCTTCCCAGCCAAATTTAGAATAAGCCCTCTTGGGGAAGGGGCAGGTTAGATGTGCGTGAAAAGAAGCTATCAGCTTCTCAAGCGACGGAGTTCCTAAGCCAAGGTTTTCCTGGGAACATGCATGCGTCGTTTTAGTTGGCAACTCCACAGAACATTTAATCAGCTTGGCAGTTTGGAGCGGGGAGGGCAGGATGCATCATGGACTGAGCGGGGAGGGGAGATTTTAGCTTCCAGCTGCAGGCCCCTTCCTTAAAATCAGCATGCTGGAATAAAAAAAAATGCTATTCCGTCTGTTGACTGAAAGGTGTTAATAAGTCCTAAGAAAAACCACATGAGCGTTTGTGTGTGTGTGTTGCTTGTGTATTGCTTGGTTTCCTTTAACCCAATTCCTGTTTTTTATTAATAGAGAGTACACAGTATAATGATTAGTGTCCTACACAAGGACTGGGGAAAAAGTGGAGGAAGGAATATTATATAGGTCACCCTAAGCTCAAGTAGACTTTTCCCCAGAAATCTGGAAACTATTTATAGTGAAATTAAGATTTGCCTGAACGATGCAACAAGTTAAATGCTCCTGCCTTTGGGAAGGACCCTCCTCTGATGGCCTGGCTTCCACCTGACTCTTGTTTTGATAGCAGGAATGTCTGCTGATATCATGGTACAATAAAACAAATAATTCCCAGTGCTCCGCTCTGGTCAGTTTCAAAAACATGCAATCTGCTCCTCTTTTAGCGCATCGAGAGACATCCATTAAAATAAGGCTGCCGCCTCACCTCCCATTTCCCGTCCGATCACAGCTCTGCAGGTTAATTTCGTGCCGCTGAGCCAGGGCTGTCCAGGTAGAAAAGAGCTCAACTATTGGGGTCCTCAGGGGTCTGCCTATGGGGTCATCTTGGCAACAGGGCTGGCCACTTGTTCTCGGGGGGGGCGGGGGGGCGTGTTTTAGCCTTCCCATTGCAGCCTATAGCTCCGAGGATTCTTCCCACAAATACTAACCAGGCATTTGCCGTAAACTTTGGTTCACCTCTTGGGGATCACCATGTTTGGCTAGAGGTTGACCCCTCTTGTGATGGGACACCTTGGAGGGCACTTAAATCCTGTTCCTTGGCCGGCTCTGGGAGTTGAAGTCCACAAGTCTTAAAGTGGCCAAGGCTGGAGAGCCCTGTCCTACACAGCCTCTCAACCAGTGGTGGTATGCTACCGGTTCGGAAGCAAACTGGTAGCTCTGAGGATCATCTGTGAGCAAACCAGTTTGCTCCAACGATCAGCTGCTGGGCCCCCAGCTCTATACTGACCGTTATTCCTGCTTTCCAACCTCAGAAGCACGCGCCTCTGACCAACACATCAGCTCTGACATTTCCAGAACAAGTCTCCTAACCCCACTTGGCAATTTGCCCTGAAGGTCACCTGGGGACGGCGGCGCTGCTGCCCCTGAGGTTTGCTACAAGCATCACAAGGGCAGAGCCAGAGAATCGATGCGGCCTCCCTCCCTGCTTGGATGGGGGCTGCGGAAAATTCCAGCCAGGGAAGCAGGCAAGCTCCGAACGGGAGGTGTTAAAGGGCCCCGGGTCTGAATGCCATCGCGTGCCTTTAGCTGCCTTCCTGAATTTTTGGATGGACGGACACACACACACACACAAAACAACCCTGAGCCTGCGATAACTCGTGATTTCAGCTTTTGGAGAAAGTGTCCTATTAGTGGTCACTAAACTGAGAATGATTTATTTATTTATTTTGTCAAGCAATTATAAGATAACAGGTATAAGTATAAACATAGCTATGAATACATGAAATGGATACATATAAGAAAAATAAAAAGAAACAATAGGACAGGGACGGTAGGCACGTTGCTGTGCTTATGCACACCCCCTACAGACCTCTTAGGAAAGGGGTGAGGTCAATAGGAGATGGTCTAAGGTTAAAGTTTTTGGGGTTTGGGGAAGAAACCCCAGAGTCAGGTAGAGGATTCCAGACACTGACCACTCTGTTATTGCTGAAGTCGTATTTCCTGCACTGAAGTTTGGTGCGGTTAACCCTGAGTTTGTATCTATTGTGCGCGCTTGTGTTGTTACGGTTGAAGCTGAAGTATCCATTGACAGGTAGGACATTGCAATGTATGATATTATATACCATACTTAGATCAGACCAAATAAGGATAATGCACCTTTTATAATATCTCAGAGAAAGCCCCCTCCTCGTGCGACAGAATTGGGGTGCTAATCCCTCAGCTCCCAGGGAGCCCCTCATGAACGAAGAGCCCGCCAGAAAAAGACAACAGGAAGGAGGAGGAAAGGCCTTGCGAAGGAGCCCGATTTCACGGAAGGGAAAGGCTGCGGAAATTGTTAAGGGCCAATGTGTGTTTGTGTTGTCACATAATTTAGAAAAATCAACTGCTTTAATTAACATAAACAGCTCCTGGACTTAAAAATAACAATCCATCTGAGCTGAGAATTTGTTTTCAATCTGGGAGAGAAATCCGTGCCAAGAAATGTACTGCATTTTTAAAATAGCTCCCTCCGATTACAGGAGGAGAGAGACAAAGGTGACTCAATCCTTTTATTTTAGCCAGGCCTACAAACTATCTTAGAGGGAATCAGAATGACATGAAAGAATCTAACGGGCCTTCCTTCTAGGGAAAAAGAAATTGTTTCCTTTAGAGGTTTGGGGTAACAGCTATAAACACCTGAGTAAATACGATAACAAAACTTCTGGAAGGTTAGTAATTATTTTGGATGTACCGTAGAGAAATCTGGATTGTAATATTCACCAAAACAGCCTTTCCACAGCAATGCATTTTACAAATCAGAAGAGGGAACAGTGGAATTTCCCCAGCCTGAATGACTAAGAAAGATTTTCTGCACAAAAGTCAGCCACGGAAACTTTTCTGCAGCAAGGAAGCGAAACTTAAAATTACTTTCTAATCACGCTGATTCAGCTGGACGGAAGGAAAGGGATAGAGGTTAATATGCAAAAGCTAACTTGCAAAAAGGGGTTGCCAAGAGGTGGATTGTAAGGGGAGATTTAGCGGTAGAATTGGAGCATTCTCCTGGCAAGGAATTAGAACCTCTGGTTTAAAATCTGGTTTACACCTGCGGCAGAAAATGAGACCGTAGAATAGAAATGAGCCTTGCCAACATGTAGGCAGCCCTGGATAAATGTTTTTTAAAAACCAAAAACTTTTACACACACAAAACACACAAACCCCATATGTGTCCAGGCTGTCATTCTTTCCTGCAGGAGTTTAAGGCATGAAATTATGCCTTCCATGTTCATTTCCTGCGTTGCTTAAGGAGATGGTAAAATGGCCCCTTTTGCTCTCCGAATAATGCTTTGAGATGGAGGACTCTTGGACGTTCGTGTCCTCCGACGCTTACAAACATCCCACCTTTTCGTTTTCCACAGGGCCCACCTGTTTCCAGCGCAAAATGCCAAAAACGGAGTTACTACGAGAAGAAGAACAGATGCTCCCCTTCTCCTCCTAATGTTCCTCTCCTGTCAAAGGAAGTCAGCCTTGGGTAAAAAAAAAAAAATTACCAACTGCCAAACTTTCAGCTCTCAAAGTCAACAAAAGATCCCTGGATTAATTCCTAGCCTACAAAACTAAGACATCACCCCCCAGTGCAAGCAATGGCCAAGAGAGGATGGGCTCTGCAATCCAGCACGAAAAGAGCTTTTTTAAGGCGGCTCCTTGGAATCAGGTCCTTTTAAACCAGGTGAATTAGAAAGGAACGGCCTGGTCTCCCCAAATATTTCCCAAGGCGCTGAATGCCAACAGGGAGGAGGCCAGCCAGCCTGCTTTGGTTCAGCCTTCGAACCAGGGTGTTAAGTCTTAGCAGTGACCATCTTGCTGAGGCTGCACAAACCCTGGCCAGCAACTCCAGCCGCACCAAGGGAAACGTGGCTAATGCCTGGCTCATGCCCTGGGGCCGCCTCCTGCCTTCGCCGCCCTGCAAAGCTGCCCCTATCTCATTTACTCTACCCAGCACAAAGAAGCAGATTAAGTGGCAATCGCAACTTAACAAGATTCTGTACACACACACAATGCCTC